GTTACAGAGCTATGCTAATTATCTGAACAGCGCTACTGCTGCACAACAACCATTTCCGGGTCCAGTTCCGCCTCCGAGGTCACCAGCAGTGACGTCATCAGAGTTCCGTCCTAGTCTTCCAGAAAGATTTTCTGGTAACATGAAAGATTGCAAAGGATTTTTATTTCAATATCGATTGATTTTTCAGAACTCCCCTGGCAGCTTTTCCACGGATTACAAGAAGATAACTTTCATTCTCTCACAGTTAACAGGAAGAGCCTTGGAATGGGCTCAGGCAAGATTTGCCGCCGACGATAGCTTAAACTGCTATTACTCTGATTTCATCTCAGAATTTACCCAGGTATTCAACCAAGAAACTGACCAAACCATTGATTCCAGAGCCCTTTTCAACCTTAAACAGGGAAACTCTTCGGTGGCAGAATTTTCCATCAACTTCCGGGTTAAAGCGGCAGCTTCCGGATGGAACCAAAGCGCTCTAAAGGGAGCCTTTTTCATGGCATTAAATGAGCACATTAAAGATGAGCTCGCAACCCTCGACGAACCAGCTACCCTCGAAGATCTAATTCGTCTCTCCATTAGATTGGACAATAGAATTCGTGCCAGAAACAGTTCAAAGAAGCAGGGTACACTTTCTTCTGCCTCACATAACGTGACTGTTTGTTCTTCCTCTACAGAGCAGCTGCCCATTCAGAGACCTAAGTCCCAGTCTCTACCGTTGCCTATTCAAGCCTCTCATTCAGGCGAAAGGGATGTTGAGCCCATGCAGGTGGGACACACTAGGCTCACCCCAGAGGAGAGGCAAAGGCGTTTTCTAAGCAAACTATGTATCTACTGTGGTGAGAGTGGACACTTCATCGCTTCCTGCCCGGCTAAATCAAAAGCCTGGGCCCGCCAGAGGATCTGAGGAGTCTGGCGGGCCAAATTAACACTAAGAAATCTCCTCGACTGTTACTTCCCGCTACGTTGTTCTGTGCCAACCAAAGCCTCTCTTTTTCTGCATTCATCGACTCAGGCTGTGAACGGAACCTAATCGATTCTAACCTCGTCCAACAACTCCAAATAGAAACCATTCCTCTGACTCAGCCTCTCAGTGTATCCGCTATTGACGGGAAGAGACTACATCAAGTTACCCATCAAACTCAGCCCCTCGAGCTACTTCTGTCAGGTAACCACCGAGAGACTATAAAATTTTTTGTTTTTCCCTCTGCATGTTCCCCGCTGGTGCTTGGTTTCGAATGGTTGGAGAAGCATAATCCTCACATAAATTGGACCGAACGTCACCTGGAATCGTGGTCCATCTCATGCCATGAAACATGCCTTCGTTCAGCTGCCCCCTTGGTGGGGTCTCCTAGAGGTGGGGGGGAGATGGACTCTCCTGACCTTTCTTCAGTTCCTTCTGAGTACCATGACCTAGCCCCTGTCTTCAGTAAGGTCAGTGCGACGTCCCTACCTCCACACAGACCATACGATTGCGCCATTGAACTCTTACCTGGTGCTCCACTACCTAGCAGCAGGTTGTATAATATTTCCAAGCCTGAAAGAGAAACCATGGAAAAATACATCAACGAATCATTAGCTGCTGGAATAATCCGCCCATCTTCCTCTCCTTTGGGCGCCGGTTTCTTCTTCGTGGGGAAGAAGGATGGTTCCCTGAGACCTTGTATTGATTACCGGGGTTTGAACCAGATCACAGTTAAGAACAAATACCCACTTCCTCTCCTCGCCTCTGCGTTCGAACCCGTACAGGGAGCTACAGTGTTTTCTAAACTGGATTTAAGAAACGCTTATCATCTCCTTAGGATCCGAGAAGGAGATGAGTGGAAAACTGCCTTCAAGACACCCTTGGGCCAATTCGAATATTTGGTAATGCCCTTTGGTCTAACTAACGCTCCAGCCTGCTTCCAGGCCCTCGTAAATGATGTTCTCAGAGACTTTTTAAATGTATTTGTTTTCGTGTACATTGACGACATACTCATTTACTCCAAGAACCTCGATGAACACAAGAAACATGTCCGCCTTGTTTTGCAGAGACTGCTGGAGAACAAGCTGTTCGTGAAAGCCGAGAAGTGCGAATTTCATCAACCTTCAGTCACCTTTTTGGGGTTTGTGCTTGAGGGCGGCCAGGTAAAACCATCTGAGGACAAGATTAAGGCAGTCTTAGACTGGCCAGTTCCAGAGAACCGCAAACAGCTACAAAGATTTCTAGGTTTTGCAAACTTTTATCGTCGTTTCATCAGAAACTACAGCCAGACCGCCCTTCCATTAACTTCTCTGACCTCTGTCAAACGCATCTTTCAGTGGACTCCTGAGGCTCAAGCTGCGTTTGATAAATTAAAGTCCTTGTTTTCCAGAGCACCTGTGCTTATGCAACCTGACCCAGCGAAGCAGTTTATTCTTGAGGTGGATGCTTCAGATTCAGGTGTTGGAGCAGTCCTATCCCAGAGACTTGATTCAGATCAAAAGATCCACCCTTGTGCATTCTTCTCCCGTAGACTATCTTCCGCAGAGCAAAATTACGATGTGGGTGACCGAGAGCTTCTGGCCATCAAACTGGCGTTGGAGGAATGGAGACATTGGCTGGAGGGAGCTGAGCATCCGGTTCTTGTATGGACTGACCACAAGAACCTGGCTTACATCCAGTCAACCAAGCAAGCTAATCCCCGCCAATCCAGGTGGTCAATTTTCTTCTCTCGGTTTAATCTCATCATCTCCTACAGACCCGGATCCAAAAATGTCAAACCCGATTCTCTCTCTCGTCTCTACTCCGTCGATCATCCCGAGACGCCTGAACCTGTTCTTCCGGCTTCCTGCACAGTGGGGGTGGTCAACTGGGAAATAACTGACCTCATCAACTCAGCCCTGGCCACTGAACCCGATCCAGGTAACGGTCCCACTAACCGAACCTATGTTCCATCTTCCGTCAGGTCCCGTCTCATCCATTGGTTGCATGCCGCCAAGTTCTCTGCTCATCCAGGAGTCAGCAGAACAGTAGCCCTTATCTCAAGACGCTTCTGGTGGCCCACCCTCCATAGGGACGTCAAGGAGTATGTGTTGGCTTGCCCCACATGTGCCCGTAATAAAGCCTCACACCAACCTCCTTCTGGTCTGCTTCAGCCGCTTCCTGTTCCCTCGCGTCCATGGTCCCATATCGCCATTGATTTCGTCACCGGTCTCCCCATCTCTCGAGGTATGTCCACCATATTCACCATTGTTGACCGTTTCTCGAAGTCCTGCCATCTTATTCCCCTTAGAAAACTTCCCTCGGCCTTCCAGACAGCCCAGCTCCTCATCAAGCATGTTTTCCGTTTACACGGCATTCCCCAAGAGATCCTCTCGGACCGGGGTCCTCAGTTCATTTCCCAGGTCTGGAAGGCTTTCTGTTCTGCTCTCGGCTGCAAACCCTCTCTCACCTCTGGTTACCATCCCCAATCTAATGGTCAGACTGAGAGGATGAACCAGCAGTTGGAATCAACCCTTCGTTGCCTCACATCGAACAACCCCGTGGACTGGAGCCAATTTCTTCCCTGGATCGAATACGCACACAACTCCCTGAGATCTGCATCCAGTGGTCAATCCTCGTTTCAGGTTAGTCTCGGCTATCAACCTCCACTTTTCCCCGCAGACGAGAGAGAGATTTCGGTCCAGTCCGTAAACCAGCACATCCGCCGTTGCCAGAAGATCTGGAGGGAAACCATCGCCACCCTCAACCAGTCTTCTCAGTCAATCAAACGCTTCGCCGATTCCAGGAGACGTCCCGCCCCCGAGTACACTGTGGGCCAGGAGGTATGGCTATCCACTCGAGACATCCCCCCTCTCTCCTAGGTTCATCGGCCCCTACAAGATCACCCGAGTCATCAACCCCTCAGCCGTCCGTCTCCAACTACCTCAGTCCCTCCGAATCCACCCTACCTTCCACGTGTCTCAAGTCAAGCCTGTCTCCTCGAGCCCTCTGTGCCCACCGTCCGACTCCCCACCACCCGCCCCGGAGGTCGATGGTCATCCGGCCTTCACTGTCCGACGCATCGTGGACTCCCGTCGACGAGGTCGCGGTTGGCAGTACCTCGTCGACTGCGAGGGCTACGGACCGGAGGATCGCCAGTGGGTTCCGGGCTCGTACATCCTCGATCCTGCCCTTATCGAGGAGTACGAGCGTTCCTGCCCTTCGACCTCTTCCGGACCACCAAGGGGCGGTCGTTGAGGGGGGGGGTACTGTTGGGAGCTGGAGAAATTCCACCTTTCTCCAGCAGAGTCCGCCGTGGATCCTCTGAGGGAGCCTCCTGCACAGCTGCAACTCATCAAGACCATCAGAGGATCCACTACTTAAGCTGTCTTCAGACCTTGCCTCAACGCCGCAGTGTTGTTCCAGTTGGTCAGCGCTTAAGCCTAGATCCTCAGTGAAACTCTATGACTTTGAATCCAGCCTGGATTCTAACTATAGTCTCTGTCTTCCAGGAAACCTGTGTCTCCTCTGTGAAAGCTCAGGAAGAGCTAACCTGCCGAGCCGACCCTCAGAGCCAAACCTGAAGAATCTCAAGGAACCTCCAAGCAGCTCTGGACTAGAGCTGGAAAACCCAAAACCAAGGTCTGTTCATTCTAGACGTGAGACGCTGAGGCAGCAAACGGACTCTGCTGATGAACTCCTCTCCAGATCCAACAGTGACTCTCCCAAAGCTAATCTCAAGAACCCTCAAGGTACAATCAGTAATCTTCTGGAAATCAAACCTCTGTTGGCAACGCTAACTGAACTGTCTCTCACGCAGACTCCGGTGAACCAGTATCCAGGCCCCGAACCTGAACCAGTACATTCTGTGTGCTTGTGCATAATAAACTTGTTAAACTCTCATCCCTGTGTCCGTCAGTGGTGTTCTGCATTCTTGGGTCGCTTTTAGTGAACCCATCATGACATTAACAACAAGGAACCAACACAAATCCTACACTCAAAAAAAGCAAACTGGGTGTCTGTTACCTTATCTTATGTCTAACATGTAGCTTCTACTATATAAAATCATGTTTTGTGGTTGAACAGTTTTAAATCATGTAGATTTAGCATAAAATGCAACAACTTAAAATTTACTTGAATAATTTATGTTAAAACAACCTAATTCTAATGGGTTAAGATTGCAAATCAATAACACTCCAAAGCAGTAGGTGGCAGTAATGAGCACATTCCCCTCTCTTGAAGGCCACGGTCAAAGGTGAGTGAGTCCCCGACTCTGGCTGGCAGAAGGAGTAGACATTTTGAAAAGAAATTTCAAGTGTGGAAGAAGGTAAGTTTAATCTTTTATCATCCATCGAACAGAAAACAATACGGCAGCAGACATGTTATAGACAGTTAGTTATTGTCCTCTTTTGCATTTTGGATTATTTATTTGTTACTGGGCGTTTTATTAGAGTGCATTAATATATCACACTGTCGCCATGCTCATAGCTAACTAAGCTTACAAGCTAGCATCCTGAGGTCGACGGCATGGTTGACAACGCGTGCGGATTCATTTACAAAATGAGCTAAGAGCTGATGCAGGCATGGCTGGTGGGGGATAATTGCCTGCGTTTGGTGAATGTAGCTGCAGCTAAAAGGCTCCAGTCACATAGGCTACATTAATAATAATAGTGGTGATGAATTTCCCCCCAATCCGAATCTTGGCTTCACGTGGAGTCCGCAGAAAGCTCGGCACTTAACAGTCATTAGCTCTAAGTTTGGAAACTACCACGGCATCTCGGCACCTTGGCGGGGTTTCTATGTCAACTCCACGTAGCATTAGCTCATCCAGCTACTAACATCAACACAGTAGTTCTTCGCACTATGGAGCTTTCCACAGTCAGATTTTATTCACTTTGTTGACGAGGGAACAAATGTGTGCTACCATAAATGTACTGTTGTGCTGTAGCCCAGCTAGGAAAGCAAATCGTTACCATATTTCAAATGAAAAAGCATTTTCAGAAATGCTTTTTCATTTTAAGAATGTGGCTGCATTGTTTGACTCATAAATGAAATTAGTAATCAATCATCCTGTTTGCATTTTAAATTTCTTCTTTAATGCTTCTCATCATTTTACTTAATTAAAATAAAAAATAAAAATACATTTGAGATTTATTTTTTGAAAATGTACCCCAGAAAATACATACCAAAAATAAATTTGAAATGTAAATTTTGAAAATGAAAAAGTATTTTCAGAAATGCTTTTTCATTTTAGGAATGTGAATGCATTGTTTGCCTCATAAATTAAATTAGTAATTAATCATCCTATTTGCATCTTGAATAAATGCACAGCACTATTTAACTTTGATTGAAATATGTACAGTGTGATTTATATCAGCCAACAAAATGTGGGCTAGCCTTGGAAATAACTTGTAAGCTGATTTAGGATTTGGTGGTAGATGACAATTGTTAAACTAGTCGGTCATTTCAATGCTATGATAGTTAAATTTACTTTTGTGTACCCTTTCTGTTTAAGCTAACTGCTGAATTTAAGAGGATTACAACCATCAGTTTGCTGTCAAAGTTCTTCTCCCAGCTGGATGCTCATTCTTCAAACTTGATGAGGGTGTTTGGCAAGAAAGGCGGCGTTCAAGGAAGAAAGATAAGGAGCATCATGATACCCATCACCAAGGTATGATAATAGAATAAAATAGAAATTGTCAAACCTGTACCGATTCAATATTCTAAACTTAATGCTTGAAATTTAAAGCGGAAGTTTCAGAGGGATGGAGAGAAATAAAACTAGATGGAGAGGGGTGTAATGTACTTTTATGAAGAAGGATCTGATAAAATTTTAACCTTGGGCAGATGTGACAATGTCCACTGATGTTGCAATGGTAGGTTCTGTTTCCTGGGACCACATGCTTACATTTGACATATTTCTATGATAAAATGTCTTGCTGGTACATAAAACCAATGCACCCATGGATATTGTAAGTTCATATATCATAAAAATTGTCAATGATTTTTACATTTTGAAGAATGTATTATTTAAAGTTTTGTTTGTAAAATCTTCTACCAGTTGATTAAAATGTTTTATCTTTAATTTATTGTCCTACATACTCAGACTGACGCCATTGATGTCAAAAGAGAGTGAATCATCAAAGCCCTGTGTGTGTACCTGAATGAAGAGCCCGAGAACCTTGTGAAAGAATACATGGTATGTAATTTAGTGTGTTTAAAAATGGGACCAGTATAACATATCTTTACATGTATATCCTCTATTTCCCCCTTTTTTCTGTGAAGAACACAGATTGTGGGAGCAGTGAAGCTGCAGTGATGGAGACGACATTTGGAATATTTGTCATTCGCAAGGAAGGTGCAGAGCCAGTTGATGGACCGGAAGATGTAGGTATAGTTCTGGATGGGCTCGGAAACGTGCCACTTGCTGTGGTCATGTTGTTTGCGCTTGTATATGCGCTTAACCTCAGCTACCCGCCAGAGCTCAGATACACCTTTGAAGCTTTGCAGAAGATCATCGTGGAGCTTGATGGAAACATACTCTCAAAAAAAACTCAAACACTGAAAACTCTACTTGCGTGTTAGTCACCCTCAATAGAGTAAACTACAGGTTTGGAGTTACTCTAATGGGAAGGCATTTGAAGCCATTTGAGTAGTTACTGAACTGAAAGCTGTGTTTGTGTTTTAATACATCCTGTTGCTATTTTGGGTTTACAAAATAGAATGTTTTGAAATGTTTCTTTATGCAAAGGTAAGGTTTTAAAACAAATTGTTATTTTCTAAAGAAAACTATTTTGATATGGATGCATTATGCTGTATTTTGGTTGTTCTCAAATATTGGTCTTTGCACTCAGTTGACAGGACCACTTTCTGCGTATAACTTTGTAAAGGGCTTTGCTGAAAGCTCTAAATATAGACACCTAATGACAGGGGGCTCCAATTTCCTAACTCAGGAGTTACAACTTTTGTTTGTCTATCTGTTGTAGTTTTTTTACAGACATGATGTTGGACACTGTTTCAGGCTGTATTGTTTGTTGTATTTTCACAACGTAGTCATTTTTAAAGTAAAGTGATTTCAACAAATCCAATTTAGTTCATGTTTTTCTTTTCCAAACTTGACACCAGCTGGGGGTATATAGGCTGACATGTACATTTTAAATAGCTGAATATGTATACGTTAAAAATGAATTATTTTGTGAATAATTACTTATGTTCATTTTCATATGATAAAGTTAATCTCTTACCTAACTTTGTTTTGTGGGCTCAGCACAATAAATTCATGTACTGTACTATTTTGAAAAGTAGTTGTAACTACCCTATTAAATTATGTACCTAATAATCCTATCATACAAGTTTAAATGGCTTAAGAAAATTATGTTAGTATGTTACATTTACCTATATTTATCTAGTTGGACTGACCCCTGGTAATTAAGTAATAGTAATGCAAATACAACACGTTGACCCAACATATTTACCCTTTGTTCACTTAACAAAATTGCTTCTCGCTAAATTAATGCATTTTATTTAGGTGGAAATTATTTCCATAATTTTATTACGTTCTGGGAACAAGTTTTTTTTTTGAGTGTACATTTTTATTTAAATTATTTACTTTAATCTTCAAATTCAGACATCTACGCATTTTTTTTTTATTTAAAATTATCTACCCCATTAGAAACCATTTTGAAAAAAAACAAACTTTTCTTAACTGTGTATTTATTTTATTTTTATTACTCTTTGTCTCTTTGTGGGGAGGAGCAAATGCTTAGATCACTAAAAATTTTACTAAGGAACAAAACAGAACAATATTAATAAACCCAGAGTCACAAAAATATTTCATTTAGCCGCTGAGTAATTTTAATATTACTTTTAAATGAAAAATCTTTTATATGTCAAGTAGAGGAAAAAACAGCATCACTCAATATTGTGTTTAAATTTTTATTTGAATCTGTTGAGTCTTGGACTTGTTGCAACATACGTATACTGTATCTGAAATAGATGGAGTCCATCTTCAGACCATTTGTCTAAATCTACACTATACATTTCTAATGATGTTATATTTGCTTTAAAATTAATTGCATTGGTCTAGTTTTTGTCATGATTTTGGCACTGATGACTGTACTAATGGTTCATTAGATCCACCTGCTTAGCTTCGCCCAGTTTCTCATTACAACATATCATATCCCCCTGTTCCAGCTTGTATTTGAACTGTTTGCTCCCAATCATCAGTGCCAGATTATTCGAGCCATAGGTAAGAGTTTTTAGCGTACCCAGTTTGTTTGTCCTGATAACCTGATCCTGACTGGTTTCTGCCCTTGGTCCTCCTGAGCCTGCCTGCCCCTGTTCTGATGTGTTTGCCTGGCTTGTCTCCGGACTCCTGCTGGATTCTATCTGCTTACTACCTGTCTCCTTACTATCCATCTGTCTCCTGACCCCGGCTTGATTTCCCCTTTGGTACCTCTGTCTGATGTCTGATCTTCTGGCCTTGACTTCTGTTTGTCTCATTGACATGGCTTTGCTTCTCCTTCTGGAATCTCTTGCTCTCCCTCGTCCTTTGGCTTCTGCTCCTGGAACTCTGTGGGCAGCCTCCGCTGCGTACAATGGAATATCAAAATCTGGATTTCACTTCCTCTTCTGGGCTCGGACTCAACTTTATAACCAGGTTAGCGACTCATGCTCTTAATCATCCTCCATCAGAGTTACGTGGACACTAACCTGTGTTTTCCCCTCTACAGTGACTCTGTCCTTTTTGTTCTTGCTGCTGAGTCGCAGATTAATCAAGCAGTCAAAAGCTGTCAGTGAATAAAAACATCAAAGTTCTTTGTTTAATGGCAATGTTCTGTTAGAAGAGCTCCTTTCCTGACTTCCTTTTGATTGACTGAATAAAAGGTGTCTTAAGTTTCACTGTCCACCTGTGCAGTTCCTGCAGAGGTAATGACTGCCATCTGCCCCGCTCATTTACCCGACATCCATCAATGACGGTGAAAGATTTCCAGTGATCTGTGTTTCATTGGAATAACACCAAACAAACCTTTCAGCATCATCCCCTTAGTTTCATTACTGAAACCCATTTTCAATCAAACATCTGCTTCCCTTCAGCCCACCAGAACTTGCCTTTCTTCCATTTAGGTGGCTACCATGATGATCTTTATTTGCATCAATTAAATTTACATTGACTATTATTTAATACTTTTCTGTTAGTTTTTCAGTAGTTTTTGTGTTTTCATTTTTAGTCCCTTTTTTCCCTAGATAGGCAAAATGCAAAAACTCTTTCTGTTTCCGTGGGCCTGGTTTTCACCACACAAGAAGAAGACGCTTGCTAATTAAAGACAGTCAAACTCATTTGCATAACTCAAACTTCTCAGATGACCACTAAAAAAATTCCCCCCAAAACATGAGCAAAACCAAGTGATGCATGTAATGTGGACAGAAGATTCTTTGCAGATGTCATAGTTTCAATTTATTGTGTTTATTTCCCTCTTTATGGTACGTTCAGACCAAACTGTACACCAATGTGGCAACTTTGACTTCACATTTGTCGATTGTTGCTTGCCTAACATAGCAGCAATTGACTTTGTGGGCGACAGCAATTTGTATGGCGGCTGTCCAGCTTTACTGCATCGTTGAATCTACTGTCTTCTGGTGTTGCGCTACATGATTGGCTGAATGTTGCCACGTGACGTAAAACATTGTGGTTGCCCCAAACTGATGGCGAGATGGAGCGGGGACCCCCTAATTATATATATTGTATGAAATTGTGTTCTATCAAACAGGTCCTATAGTCACTATTACAAATGGAATAATGTAACGAACGTTACCTAGGATTAACAGAATATTTCTGATTCTGATTCCTGGTTGATGGGACAGGTGTTGTGAATGAAACGTTGTCCAGCTTGAAAGAGCTCCTGTGTGTCACTGAATGTGTGCATTGATGACTGAAAGACATCTTCTGCCTCCATTTATCTGTTTACTACAGTCTGTTGAATTCATGTTAATGTGGATTTCAATTAGTGGAAAAAATTGTAGGAGGGAATATAAAAAAAAGCCTAATTAACCAAAACTTTCGCGACCCCCATGCAGTACCTCCGTGGACCCCTAGGGGTCGCGGACCCCCTGTTGAGTTGCTGTGATCAGTAGCTGACAGGTTAGCCTCTTTTAGCTCAGTTGGTTAGCCATGTTAAGCTACACTACTTTGAACTTTGTGTCAACAACAACTGTTTGTTTTCTACAAGTAGAAAAACTGATTTGTATAAAATCTCTATGATAGTATATTTTTTTTTAAAGATGTTCCATTTGCCTCAGATCTTAATAAAAAGAATAAAAATAAGCTGAGACTTTTTGTGTCATCTTGTTAAATAGCAGAGCTCAGTCTGTCTTTGATGGCATTGTTTTCCATTTTCGGCTATTTTAGATCACAAATGAAACTCAAAATAATAGCAAATATAGGTCATATTATGTGGTACGATGGAGTATAGAGATTTTTTTTCTTCTATTTCGAGAATGACGTCGTAACATTATGAGAATAAAATCGTAAATTGCGAGAATAAAGTCGTAAAACTATGAGAATAAAGTCGCAACGAGAATAGTCATAAAATAACGAGAATTAAGTTATAAAATTACGAGAATAAAGTCGTAATATTAAGAGAATAAAGTCCTAAAATTAAGAGAAACAAGTTGTATTTTATGACAACTCCTACAAGAAGCACTTTCTTCCCTAAAATGAGGAATGTTGAGCATCATGTGAAGTTATACTTTGGCATCCAGTTGACAAATAAGAAAATCTTTTAGCATTAGCATTAGATTGGTCAGGATGTCAAAGTGGACTCAGGTTGCTGTTTGGTGGCGCTGTTCGGCCGTCATCTGCTGGTCGGAGCTCAAAGCTTTCTTTCTGAAACAGGTTGTTGTAGGATGACTCCATTCTGGTAATATTACAACTTTATTCTCGTAATGTTACAACTTTATTCTCGTAATGTTACAACTTTATTCTGTTAATATTACGACTTTATTCTAGTAATGTTACGACTTTATTCTGGTAATATTACGACTTTATTCTCGTAATATTACAACTTTATTCTCGTAATGTTACAACTTTATTCTCATAATATTACAACTTTATTTTGGTAATATTACGACTTTATTCTGGTAATGTTACGACTTTATTCTGGTAATATTACGACTTTATTCTAGTAATGTTACAACTTTATTCTCACAATATTACAGCTTTATTTTGGTAATATTACAACTTTATTTTGGTAATATTACGACTTTATTCAGGTAATATTACAACTTTATTCTAGAAATGTTACAACTTTATTCTCGTAATGTTACAACTTTATTCTCTTGATGTTACAACTTTATTCTGGTAATATTATGA